TTCCTTTGATGTACCGTGGACTGAATGTGTGTATTAGCTGAATAATAAACTCATCATTTACCAAAAAAATTTGCCAACAACATCAAAACCGCCCGAACTATCAAAGTGGGTATCCTATGTTAGTGATGTTATTGAACGCTTTCACAGGCCGTTAGAAAACCCACCCAAGCGGCCATCTTGTCGGAAGCCGCTTGAGTGGTAGTTTTCTTAGTTGGAGAACCAACCGCTAATGCGCAATGTCCACTGGTTGTCGACAAGTCGAACACTATGCTTTGCCCATTAGATTTTACATTCTCATGTGGTCGGAATGATACTTTGCACGTGCTTATCTGACAAAGAAGTTGATTTTTTTACAGGTCAGCGACGTAAAGTGTGCATCTCTTCAAATGAAACTGAAAGGCTACAAGCGGTGATGTCCTTAATGCCGAATTCATCGGATTCGGAATGCATCAGGAAAAAATACGCACATATCACTTTTTACTAAGTGCTTGTCTTTTTTCGACCATTAATAGCTGCGTCTGGCTTCTAGTCGGTAAGTTACTTCGTCTTGGTCCAACAAAGATAGTATTCAGGACGAGATGATGGTGCTCAACACAAATCAACGATGACGTGGAAAGCTAAAGCTCTGATAGGTGCCTGAACCTTTATTATTTTTGATAAACATTCTAGTGATAATTTATCACTTTAGTGATAATCACCTCGCAAGGAGTCAAAATTCATTCCGATGGTAAACCAATAACAAAGAGGATCAGATTCAGTACCAATTTGTTTCCAATTAATTTTTGGAAAGCGAGTCATCAAAGGGTTACTGCTGGCAGATCCTTTCATTTTCCAGCGCCTCCGTTTTTCAATAAGTGTAAAAATTTGGCCAAATTTTTAACTTTTGATGTAGGTTGATTACAAGAAATCGCAACTTTTGCAGTTAAACTCCAAGGAATTTTTTAGAAATTTTAAAACATTTTTTTTTAATTTGTTGGCTTAATTTATGTGGATCCAGCATGAAAGATTCATGCAGTTTGCCCTGGCGTATAACTGTATTTTAAAGTCAAACCTGCAAAGCCATAAGATCGCCAGTAGCGGCAATCCAAACACCCCAAATAGCAGGTGTTGTTAGAATTGCTAGATATGGTACTTTTGCGCTTCTTGTCGCTGCAGCGCGCAAACTGGTCGAAGACTTGTCGCGCTGTATTCGTTCCAGTTCAATCTGTTTCACCAGTGGATGATCCGCTGAATTTTGATTATGCTCATAACATGCATCTTCTGCCTATAAAATGCTTAGTCAAATATATCTATTAGCTTTACTGAGACGGAAATAAAACCTGGCTGGTTCCGGAACAGTAAGACCCATATTCCGAACAAAATAAACCCCATGCCAGCATGAACATAATATACAGCTGGCCAACCATACTTTGAAGCACATAACTGAAAAGAAGGTGCGCTCTGAACAGATGCCAGGCTGGAACACATACAACTTAATGGACCGAAACATTCACATCCTGGATGATACTACTTTATATAGCATAAATAGGATGCATACATAGGTGAATAGTTGTGATTTCTTCGGCAACACATTTATTTTGCCACTTCTGGAACGTCTGTCCTTTTATTCACCTTCATTTATTAGTCTACAAAATCTGGGAAGAGGAGTACCACATAGTGGTCCAGTTACCTGTTTTGGAACTATTAAGATTACCAAGATCTGACCCACAATCGATGTGAAGATCTGATGCTTGTGGTGCTCCCATAATGCATCCACAGGTCGGTTGAAGCTAA